GTCGGCCATCTCCATGCGTATTGCACCGCCCCACCAACATATAGAATGGTCTTGATTGGTTCAGTCCGTAAATGCTTGCAAGCCTAAGACAATGACATGGTTTTCAATTTTAAGAAAACATAAATACAAAAGCAGTCAAGTACGAGTCTTGTTTTCTGTTACCAAAGTTCTTGTGCCCCATGTTTCCTCCCAAATTTTGTGACATATGGCACATAACTGGACAGGAGTTTAACTTCGTTAACTCTTTTAGTATTTTTTTTCTTTAATTAAAACACTTAAAATATATTATATTAGAAAACACGTTTGTCAAAAATATTTTGCAGGCCGCTTCATCTTCTACGTTACACTTCAACCCTTACATCTTCTCTGCACTGCAAAACTCAGCCACTTTATCTTCGCCGCTCTACAAAACTCAGCCCGTGCATATGGTTTGTTTTTCTAGTTCGCTTGTTAGTTGCAAGTTCATCAAGTAAGCACGCTATGCTCTTCATGTTTTTTCTTCTGCTTTTTAATTGCTGGTTTTGAGCATCGTATGCAAAACTCAGCCACTTCATCTAATTATCAAATGAATTGCGTAATGGGTATATAATTACCAAAACTCAACCCCATCATATATTTCGCTCGTTGACCATTGGTTTGTGAGGTAAGCCAAGCTCTACTTCATAATTTTTTTTCCCCTTTTTGGTTGATGGTGTTGGAGCCATCGCACAAGAAGCTTTTAAACGATTAATTTGTGATAATTATGTACTTGGAACACCCAAAAATTACTCGGAAACATGGGGCACAGAAACTTCGGTAACAGAAAAACCGGACTCGTCAAGGACAGCTTATTCCACTTGTGTGGTGCCAATGCACCCTCTTTTATTTTCTTTTATTTTAATTTATGCTCGGGATATTTTAAATTATTATAAATTAATCTAATTGGCCTTTATAAATTGGCATGCCCATTCATTTTGAATTGGGCTTTTTGGAGTTGTCCATTCCGCACATCTTACACAACAGAAAAGGAACACTACAAAGCAAAACCCTATTACATGGGTCTTGACAAATTCAAGGACCAACAAACGAAGAGTGCCCTTGTTAAATTCAAAATTGTAATAAAACAAAATTGAATAAACTTTCTTGCCCTGCTTCGCTTCCAGACTCTCACAAGCATAATGACAATACCAATTGTCAGAACGACGGTGGCGACACTTTTATTGTAATGATACTCGTATTATTTCCTGCAAAAATCACAAGGCTCTGTTTGTTACGAACGTGGTGTTAACTAATTGGGGCTCAAACAAGAAATTAAGCAACAAAAATAAATAAATTATTATACCTTGGAAGGTTTATTAGGGTATCTGCTCCAGACTCAGAAAGGATTGGACTCAAACCTCAAATAACAGCTGGGTCTAAGAACTCTTCCTCCACCCACACCACCACAACACTCTGTAATATTTGGGATGGACTCTTTAAGGCAATCGCTGCAGTTTTGTTCGTTCAAATCAGGGCTGCACTGGACAGTTGCATATATAGTTTGATTTGTTAAAGGCACCAACGCATTCCCTGCTGCAAATTTTAAAACAGAGTTCCCTGCTGCAGCTTTCTCACTCAAATTTCCAAATAAGGGGTCGCGCACCTGCTTGTATTGTTCAGCATTTGATATCTTATTTGGGCTCGGCACAAACTTAACAGGCTCATATTCAAGCACACCGAAAATCGAGATGTTCGAGTATCGA